CTGTTTGTTTGTGTGTGCGTACAATATAACAAACCTTAAAAAAAACAAGTGCTTTAGAAATCCACACAAAAAACCACGTCACAACAAAGAAGCAAATTCCTTTAAAATTCGAGGAAGAACGAAGAATATTATCTAACCAATCTCGGGTCCTATAAATCCCGTTCTCGTCGGTGAAAAAACAAGCTTCATCGTAACGCAAAAAAAAAATAAAACAAAATAGAATAAAATAAAAAATAAATAAAATGCACGCAGGAAGTCATACATTTCCGTAATATTTCACAATTATGGTAAAGTTAATCCCAGTATTTTGCACAGCGGAAGAGCGCGCGAACCACAGCAAGTCATAAATTTTTACACGATTTAGGCAAATTTGATCTCCTTGTCTCTGCGATTATGCACTTCCTGTTGTGTGTATAAAATTGACGAGTCTGACGATCAGATCAAACATTCCCACGTATAACAAAGCAAAATTTGCAAGCACGAGGCGCATAAAACTAATTTATTGCTGCATAAACTTGCATGAGGAATTTTAGAGCGAAAACAGAATATTTGTCTACATGATACACATTTCAGCATTTTCTCTTACATATATTTGTTTTTAACTATAAGAAAAGAAAATATCTTGTTATTTCGAAATGACAACTGAATAAAAAACAAGTGAAAAAACATCAACGTGTATATAAAAACCTAAAAAAAGGTTTTTGGCTCAAAATAACGTAAATTTTGTTTGAGTAAATGTTTACTATAAATTAGTCATACTAACTGCAGAAGCCTTTTTGCTTTGCAAATCGCCGACACTGAGTGCAAATCAATAAGTATTTATTTATACTTTACTTAAACATTTTTGCTAAACGAAGTAAAAAAAAATAAACCGGACTATACACCTTCGCATCAAGATCAACAGACGAATATATATAAATAAAATAACAGAAGGTATATATAAAATAAGAGTGATTTAGCTTTAACTTCACACTGTCACAATCCACCACGGAAAACCGACCTAAAATCCACATAAACCCAGACAAACCCACCTACACCCGAAACTCTCTCTCTTGACACACACAAAAAAGAGGGAAAAATTATACCCCCTCAACTCACCTCCACAACATCAAGCGCCAGAAAATCCCCGGCCTCCAGAAGTCTGTATCCATCCTCATCCACCACGTAGTTGAAGACACGCTCCACTCCCTCTGGGTCCACGTAGCCATACCGTCCGACCACCGTACCATCTTGGCGTCTCATCTCGTGACGGTACATGTTAGCTTGGGGTACCCCGTTCTCGTCGACAGTGTTTCCCGTGTTGTAGCCGAACTGGTAGGTAGCTGGTGTGGGGTGGGAAGGGGATAAAAGGGGGAAGGGGGGAGGGGAGAGAGAGAGGGGGGGTTATTTACTTCTCTTGTTGTTTGTTTTGGTATGGTATGGTACTGATGGTTTTAATGGGGGTGCAGAATGTGAAGGATGGATAAAGATGGACAGAGAAAGGGATAGAGCCGGACAGAGATAAAGATACAGATAGATGCACAGGGAGAGAAAAGAGGGAAAAAAGGAGAGACGGAGAGAAAAGAGAGAAGATACAGCGAGGGGAGGGGGGTGGAACGGAGAGGGGAACTAGGGTTAGGGGGATTAAATGAATATTCAGGGAAGAATGGAAGATAAGAGAAAAAAACAGGTGCAGGAAGATTGGGAAAAGAAGGAAGGATAAAAACAAAGGTTGTGGGAAAATGGAGAGAAATGAAGAGGATACTAGAGATAGGAAAGGAAGAAGGGAGGAGGCTAAACCCGGAGATAAAGTAAGAAACGAAAACGAGAAGAAAGAGACGAGAGAAAAAGAAAAAAGGGTGAAGACACGCTGCCTACAAGACTGTAATACATAGGTTATAAACTCGGGGTCATTCACACCATACAGGATGGCCGTAAGGGTGAAAATGACCAGTGTTAGAATAGTCGGTAGGAAGGAAGATGAAAACAAAAACAAAGTATGTTTAAGAAGCTTTGTATGCCTTTCATAAAATGCTGTTCCATATCCATACCATCAAATAAGCTTCATAATGCATACATTTTTTTCTTGTGAATTACGAATTATGAATGAACAATGTATGAAACTATGCTTTATATACAATAAAAAAAATCACCATCTATCTCACAGGATAACTACCCCCACACGCATCAAAGACGAGTGTTGTTTACTGGCCTTCTGGGACCTCACCCTTCACCCCCCCCCCCCTTACACACACCTGTCCCTAATCCCTTTTATGCCACTAGCTGCCTCACCTGTCCTCCAGCATTCCCTTTTTTCACTAATCCTATTGTCCGCTTCCCCCTCCCTCATTAAACTCATTCTAGTGAGGTACAGCATATGCTCGTTGTGGGATTATACACACACACACAAACACGTTCGTTGGTACTGACACCTGTTTGTGAATTGTGGGTTATTTATATGCAAGGAGGGAGAGCCGCTTACTCAGGTATGGTTTGAGTCTCGTGTTTTGTGAGGTGAGGTTATATGTTATATATCCCCCAGATGCGCTTTATAACTATCAATGTACTATAAATGGATTATATCTGTTTCAATATAGCAAAGCGATGCCATGAGCATAATAGCAAGTGGGAGAGAAAACAGTGTTGTCTGTCTACATTAATCCTCCTCACGTTTTTTCCTTCATGTAATAACACTATAATTTATATATTTCACCCCTTATCAATTTCTCTATTTTTAACAGATACAATCCTGGCATCTGCAATACCAAAAAAAAAAAATCCAATCGTTTACAACCCCTTTAATCTAACAAACAAATGAAACAAAACAGTTACAACCCCAGTATCTACAACTATAAAAAAACTCCCGTTCTCAATAAGCCTCCTCCTCCTTCCTACCTTTAACACCACAACCCTGGTCCCTTTATCCCCAAATAACCTCTCCTATCTCCTACACAGCACAACCAACCTAACACGACCAAAAACAACAACGGCAAAACTCTTCCTCACCTCCTTCGAAGTCCCTCGTCAGATAACGGAAATTGTTGTCCTCTGGGATCTCAATCGGCACGAACGGCTGCTGTTGGTCGGCGTTGATGATAGCCAGGGACTGTTGGGCGTCGTCTTCCACGACCACCAACAGAGGCTCTTCCGCGACAGGTGCTCCCCAAGCCGCGCCGGCGAAGACCCCCAGGACAACCTGTTTGGAAGGGGGTTGGGGGGTGGTGGGAGGTTCGGGAGGACGGAGGGAGGTGGGGGTAGGACGGTGGGAGGTGGGGAGAGGTGGGAAGGGAGATGGGTGAAGAGAGGGAGGGGGGACGGTGGGAAGGTTGGAAGTGGGAGTGGGAATTGGAGAGGGAGAAAGAGGAGGCTGGTTAGTTATTTGTTATTTATGTTTTGATTTCTGATTCTTTAAAAAAAGAAAAGAAAAATATTTTTATGTATCATGTGATGATTTTCGTAGTGAATACTAAAACTCATAGTAAAGATACTGTATTTATCTCTCGGGAGATAAGAAAACAAATAAAAGCCTACATTTAAGAACCTGACAGAAACATATATTAAGGGGAATGCTTTTAAGTTGAATTAAAACCGACTAACGCAAACATTTGGTCAAGCAGAACGAGTGAGTTCCTCGTCGCTAACTTTTTTTTCACTTCCTGGTCCAAAAGGGCGTTTAAAAGGAACGCCAGGTAGGCCTAATCAGGGGGGGGGGGGGGACATGACACTAAGATCTCAAACTCCAAAGCAAATTCTTTATCTTTTCTCTTGACGATTGGAAAACCTCATTTCAGAGAACACAAAACCTCACTTATTATTCACTATTTCTATTTATCACACAATGCCAATATTTGAAAAAAATCAAGAAAAAAACAACGATTTAACTCACAAAAATCCACTTCATTTTGGCTGTAACGTCAGGACCGAGAACGCTTGATGTTGTGTACTGTTTGAAGTCGACGTCCGCCTATTTATATGAGGTCCCGTCCACAGTTGCCAGAGGTCTTCGGATCCCACGTCCTCCGGGGTTTTATCCTAGGCGAATACCACGTCTCCCAACGCTACGACCCAACCACTAAAGCCCAAAGAAAAGACGACCAACAAACACAGTATTACAACGACTAAAACAATGCATCTCCTTGAATTCACACACAGAAGCCTTACACTAAACCCCGAAAACGGATTAAAAAAAATATATATACGAAACGGAAAATATTCACCAGTCAGGATAGGCAACTGTCCCTTCATCTTCTCCCCCTCCCTCACCCCCCCATCCAACCCCCTCCTATCTCCCCCTCCTTAGTAACCACATCCCCTCCAACTAGCCTAAGGCGGTGGTTTTGGTCGCTTCACCTCCTAATGATAAATCAGCAGACACGTTCGACCAGGTAACACCCGATTCTGAACCTTCCTGTATTGATCCGAGTGTTTTGGTCGACTGAAAGAAGCTGGATAAAAAGCGTAATATATATATATATATATATATGTGTGTGTGTGTGTGTGTGTGTGTGTGTGTGTGTGTGTGTGTGTGTGTGTGTGTGTGTGTGTGTGTGTGTCAGAGATGTATATACAGACGTGCGTTTACATAAGGTGTGTAAGTATTCACATACATATTTATACACACAAAAACATATGCATTCATAGAAAAAAAGGATGACTCATACATCTATTCAGTACATGTTAGGTTTTTTAATGTTTTGGATCACTATCTACGGATGCGTTGAATGTACTAGATGCTACCGTTAGAATACGGATGGATATATTCTTTTTAGATCCAGGACTTTATCTATCTATTTATCCGTCTGAAAAAATGCTCTATCCATCTATATAATGAAATATTAGCATTATTGGAGATATAAACAAAACATAAGCAAGAGCCATACTCACACGCATATATGCAAATTAGTACAGTAACATCTCTAATAGTGGTATTATTAATGAAACTAAAAATAACAGGGGTTGTATTAATCAAAATGAGTAAGAATTAAACAGTAAACATTGTGATATTAGTAGTAATGATATTAACAATGAAAATAATAGTGACAATAATGGTGATGCTAGTAATAATAATGATAATAATAATGATACGGATAATGATAATGATACGGATAATAATAATGATAATATTGATAATAATAATAAAAAAAAACATCAAAAGTAATAATATTTATAATGGAAATAACACTGTTAACAAGAATAACAGAGCAATATCCATTTTACAATGTATCTTGATTTTATATATGCAGTACAATGACCCGGGTCGTAACAGCAATATATTTACATTCCTTATACAGGCATGAAGTACCATTGCTTATGACAGTATAAAGAACCAAATTATTATCAACAACATTAGCAAATACTATCACTACTAATACTGCGACTAAAACAACAACTACTAAAATTACAGTTACAATTACTACTACTCTACTACTACTACAATAACTAGTTACTACTTCTACTACTACTACTACTACTACAATAACTAGTTACTACTTCTACTACTACTACTACTACTACTACAATAACTAGTTACTACTTCTACTACTACTACTACTACTACTACAATAACTAGTTACTACTTCTAATACTACTACTACAATTGCTAGTTACTACTTCTAATACTACTACTACTACAACTACAATCATTATTACTACTACTGCAACTACAGCTACTATTACTATTACTACTAATAAGTTAAAAGACAAATTTTAAAGATACAGTAATGATATCATGTATACCAACCATAATGATAATTTGTGGACATGTAAAGATGAGAAAGACTTTTTATTCTATCATTATTGATTTTAGGGAAAGGCTTGATAACAACAATGATAATGAATGTGATAATAAGATGTTAAAAAGAATAATAAAAAAATAGATTTAATCAAAAAGTGTGCTAATGAATCATACAGATAATAAGAGTAATTATTAGCGATTATTCAAACGATGATAATAATGACTAAAATAATAATACTGACGATAATGGTATTAATGATAATGATAGTGATAATAAAAACAGTAACGCTAAAAATAATCATAATGATAATAGTAATAAGTAATTATGATAATGACAGTAATAATACTAATGATAGTAATGATGTTACTTCTACTGCTACTGCTACAAATACTATTTATGAGAATGATCATATTAATATTGATAGCAATAACTATAATTATAATAATAACGATATTACCATCATTATTTAGTAAAAACAATGATGGTAATAACGATAATAATGCAATTGTAATAACAACAACAATGATGAAAATGATAATGATGATAGTACTACTAGTACTACTATTAATCATAACACTAATATCGATACTAATATTATTAATAATAATGATAAGAATAATGATAGGAATATTATTAACTTGATTATAATATACTTGATTATAATGATAATAATAATAATAATAATAATAATAATAATAATAATAATAATAATAATAGTAATAATAATAATAATAATAATAATAATAGTAATAATAATAATAATTATTATTATTATAATCGTAAGGACAAACATAATATTAATACTGATAATAATGATAATATTAGTAACAATAATGATAATAATGATAATATTAGTAACAATAATGACAATAATGATAATACTAGTAACAATAATGATAATAATAATATTAATAACAATAGTAATAATGATAATTTTTATATCAGTAATAGTAACAATAGTAATAATAAAAATAATAATAACAATTGAAATTATTTGCAGTAATGATACAAATACATAACAGATAACATGGCAATATAATATTTTATAATATCAGTCAAGCTACCACTTAATCATTACGAATATGCAGAGGTGGGGATATTAGCATAAAGGTGTCAAACGTAGACATATGTTGAGGTGTCCAGGTGTGCTGTGCAGATGTATATATATATATATATACGAACACGTGGGCGGTGGGATAGATGAGAAAATAGATTGAATATTATACATGTGTCTTTGTCACAGAATTAAATAAAAGTATGGAAGGGAAAAAAAAGTGGTACAAATGATGAATATTTTAACAACAAAGAAAAATTACGCTAAGAACTTGCAACTTTAAGAACAATAATAACCTCATTGAAATTACATGCATTTAAAATTTCAATAATGGAAAATGTTATTTAACTAATAATACACAACATTCTTATAAATCTTCAAGAACTGATGTCTTGAAATGTCAACGCTTTGCCGCTACATAATGATAATGATTACTGTTTGATAATGACAAGGATTGATAATAATGGTAATAAAGAGAACGACTTTAATGATGATAAGGGTGATGAAAATGGTGGTAACTATGATAATGATGATAATTATAAAAAAGTAATAATGAAAATAATAATAAAAGTAATAATGATAATAATAATTGGGATAATAATAATAATAATAAGGATGATGATGATGATGATAAAATATTAACAACAATAATGACGATGATGAACAAAAATAACAATAACAATAATAAAAACAATAGCAATAGTACTAGTAGTAAGAATAATGATAGCAATAATAATGATAATAATGATAGTAATAATAATAACAACAACAATAATATTAACTAATAATGTTCATAATCATAATGATAATGGTAATAGTAATAGTAATACCAATAATAATAATAACAATGATAATAATAATAATAATAATAATAATAATAATAATAATAATAATAATGATAAAAATAACAATAAAAACAATAATGATGATGATGATGATAACAAGAACAACAATAATGATAATAATAAAAGTTATAATAATAATAATAATAAAAGTGGTAATGATTATTTGTTATCATTATTATTATTTCATAATTGTACAATAACAATTAGGCAAAATCTGCAATAATAAACATAATGATAACATCAAGAACAGCAACATAAACAAAACAATAATGATAATATTGATGATGATAATATCAATAACAACAACGACAATAATACTGGTAATACAGATAATATCAACGCTAATGACAATAACAATAATAAAAATAATAAAAAAACAACGAGGATAAATAAAATTGGAGATAACGAAAATAACAGTAACGGAGCTAAAAGCAACAGTATATAACATTAGCTATCTATCCCAGTAACACAACGTGACTATTATTTCCTCTACTACCTGGTTCTCGCGACGTCTGTTACCATAACAACAAGCGGTACTTAAAAAGAATAATTTATTTAAAAAAGTTTCTAGTGTTTGAGGTTTAGTAAATAAACAATTAATGAGAAGGGTGGTAGCAATGATTACCGTTACATTAGTGCAATGTAGCGTTGATAATTGAATGATAATGATGATAGAAATAATAGTAGCGGTATTAACAATAACATCGATAATAATGATAATGATGATAATACTAATGATAATGATGACAATACTAATGATAATGATGATAATACTAATGGTAATGATGATAATACTAATGATAATGATGATAATACTAATGATAATGATGATAATACTAATGGTAATGATGATAATACTAATGATAATGATGATAATACTAATGATAATGATGATAATACTAATGATAATGATGATAATACTAATGATAATGATGATAATACTAATGATAATGATGGCAGTGATAATAACAATAATTAGATATGTGCATGGATATAGATAGATAGATAGATAGGTAGAGAGATAAGTTGATAGATAAATCTTGGGCACACATATCACCCGCGAATAATCAAGAACGTGACACCCACCCTACCCCAAGACCCCCACCTCCTCCCTTGACCTCCTCCTAGCCACGCCCCCTTCCTCAGACCCCACCTTCGTCCCCTCTCATCCCCCCCCTTTACATACCCCGCCTCTCCCCCCCCCTCCCCCCACCAACACCCTCACACACACACACACTACACCCTCCCCTTCCCTGCAGTTTTTCCC